TGCTTGTCAAGTGAAATTTACTCAAATCACGATGAAACTTTCTTAATTCAAGTCATTTCAAATTGACTAGATTTATTTTTTTTGCGGTTTATGCGACACATTTGACATTTTCACCGTTTTGATGATTAAAAAGTTTGTGTTTTATATGAACTTTGCACAAGAAGAAGTGGTTTATCGAAGTATCGCCAAGAGTATTTTTTTGGTATTTTACTAAATTATTTTGTTACAGTGCGACAGTTTTGTGGAAGGAAACTCGTTCACACTGCATAAAGTGATATCTGCATTAGTTAAAATGACTTAAATGAAGAACATTTGACTTTATTTGAGTGGATTCGATCAATGGAATAAGTGTGTTTTTCTTAATTCAAGCAACATTTGATTCTATTTATTTTTAAGTGCAAAAAGTTGTTATTTTTCTTATTTTAAATACAAAAAGTCTTGTTTCACTGATCAATAATTGTACTTGTCAAGTGAAATTTACTCAAATCACGGATGAAACTTTCTTAATTCAAGTCATTTCAAATTGACTAGATTTATTTTTTTTGCGGTTTATGCGACACATTTGACATTTTCACCGTTTTGATGATTAAAAAGTTTGTGTTTTATATGAACTTTGCACAAGAAGAAGTGGTTTAACAAAGACTTTTAGTGTCACACACGTGATTTAGACTTTATTTTTACTGAACAGGACAGGTGCATCCCTTTTTACTTCCTTCTTAAAACTTGTTTCTGTTGTCGTCCTTTGGTTATTTTCCTCCTTCTTTATGTAACGAACTGAAGATTCATTTATTCCGTAAAGGAGCCGACAGCGCAGAGTCCAGCACCTGCCAGGACAGGACCGCACCTGCCAGGACAGGACCGCACCTGCCAGGACAGGACCGCACCTGCCCCTTAACCAGAGATTATGTCAAAATTTTGCGCTGCCTACGACACGGACTAAACCAAGACTAAACCAGGACTAAACCAGGACTAAACCAGGACTAAACCAGGACTGAATCCAGGACTGAACCAGGACTAAACTAGGAGTAAACCAGGACTAAACCAGGACTAAACCAGGACTAAACCAGGACTGAACCAGGACTAAACCAGGACTAAACCAGGACTGAACCAGGACTGAACTAGGACTAAACCAGGACTAAACCAGGACTGAACTAGGACTAAACCAGGACTGAACCAGGACTGAACTAGGACTAAACCAGGACTAAACCAGAACTAAACCAGAACTAAACCAGGACTGAACCAGGACTGAACCAGGACTAAACCAGGACTAACCAGGACTGAACTAGGACTAAAACCAGGACTAAACCAGGACTAAACCAGGACTAAACCAGGACTGAACTAGGACTAAACCAGGACTAAACCAGGACTGAATCCAGGACTAACACAGGACTGATTCCAGTACTGAACTAGGACTAAACCAGGACTAAACCAGGACTAAACCAGGACTAAACCAGGACTGAACTGACTAGGACTAAACCAGGACTAAACCAGGACTAAACCAGGACTAAACCAGGACTGAACCAGGACTAAACCAGGACTGAAACAGGACTAAACTAGGACTAAACCAGGACTAAACCAGGACTGAACCAGGACTTAAACCAGGACTAAACCAGGACTGAACTAGGACTAAACCAGGACTAAACCAGGACTGAACCAGAACTAAACCAGGACTAAACCAGGACTGAACCAGGACTAAACCAGGACTAAACCAGGACTGAACCAGAACTAAACCAGGACTAAACCAGGACTGAACCAGGACTAAACCAGGACTAAACCAGGACTGAACCAGGACTAAACCAGGACTGAAACCAGGACTGAACCAGGACTGAACCAGGACTGAACCAGAACTAAACCAGGACTAAACCAGAACTGAACCAGGACTAAACCAGGACTAAACCAGGACTGAACCAGGACTAAACCAGGACTAAACCAGGACTGATTCCAGGACTGAAGAGGAGGACTAAACCAGGACTGAACTAGGACTAAACCAGGACTGAAACAGGACTCACTGTCGGGACGGGCTCGGAGGCGACCGCAGGAGAACCCCTCTAAACCCCTAAACGCGGCAATTTTCCGATCGCGCTTTGCGGACAAACTGCTCGACGTTCTCTCTCTTAAATCCAAGATTAGTCCTGGTTTAGGCCTGACCCACCCGTGTATTAAAAATATAAATAAAAAATCCACGAGACAAAAGGTGAACCGCGATATATCGAGGGACGACTGCAGCTCAATGTTGAGGCCCCACCTCCCACCCTATGGTCACCCTAACAGTATCAGATTTTCTATACTTTTGACACCCATAATGTAAACCTTCTGTCAAGTTTAATCGGAAAATCGAGCAACAGACGTCACCAAAAAACACAATTTGTTCCAATCCAAAGTAACAGAATTTATTGGATCAACGTAAATGGAAACCCATAGTTCACATTCTCTCTTTTGTGTGTGTGTGTGTGTATTTTTGTTTTCTTCTCCCTCTTGACCAGGTCATCATTGTAAATAAGAAGGTGTCAACTGACTTATCTGGTAAAATATTGAATAAATAAAATAAAAACTTTATTTGTAGAGAGCTCTTTTCATACAAAAACGCAACACAAAGTGCGTCACACAGTTCAATCAGACGTATCAGTGATGGGAACTAAAATCTCTCGATTTAGTCCTGATATAGTCCTGGTTTAGTCCTGCTTTAGTCCTGCTATAGTCCTGATATAGTCCTGGTTCAGTCCTAGTTCAGTCCTGGATTAGTCCTTCTCTTCAGTCCTGGAATCAGTCCTAGGTTAGTCCTGGTTTAGTTCTGGTTTAGTCCTGGTTTAGTCCTGCTTTAGTCCTGGTTTAGTCCTGGTTTAGTCCTGGTTTAGTCCTGCTTTAGTCATGGTTTAGTCTTTGTTTAGTCCTGGTTTAATCCCTGTCTAGTCCTGCTTTAGTCCTAGTTTAGTCTTGGTTTAGTCCTGGTTTAGACATGATTTAGTCCTGGTTTAGTTCTGGTTTAGTCCTAGTTTAGTCTTGGTTTAGTCCTGGTTTAGACATGATTTAGTCCTGGTTTAGTTCTGGTTTAGTCCTGGTTTAGTCCTGCTTTAGTCATGGTTTAGTCATGGTTTAGTCATGGTTTAGTCCTGGTTTAATCCCTGTCTAGTCCTGTTTTAGTCCTACTTTAGTCCAAGTTTAGTCCTGGTTTAGTTCTGGTTTAGTCCTGGTTTAGTTTCCTGGTTTAGTCCTGGTTTAGTCCTGGTTTAGTCCTGGTTTAGACATGATTTAGTCCTGGTTTAGTCCTGGTTTAGTCCTGCTTTAGTCATGGTTTAGTCTTTGTTTAGTCCTGGTTTAATCCCTGTCTAGTCCTGCTTTAGTCCTACTTTAGTCGTAGTTTAGTCCTGGTTTATTCCTGGTTCAGTCCTGCTTTAGTCATGGTTTAGTCTTTGTTTAGTCCTGGTTTAATCCCTGTCTAGTCCTGCTTTATTCCTGGTTTAGACATGATTTAGTCCTGGTTCACTCCTTCTTTAGTCTTGCTTTAATGCTGGTTTAGTCCTGGTTCAGTCAAAACTAAAATCTCTTATGTTTCATATTTGAGTGAATTCAATTTCCCGATCGCGCTTTGTGGACAAACTGCTCGACGTTCTCTCTCTTAAATCCAAGAATAGTCCTGGTTTAGGCCTGACCCACCTGTGTGTTAAAAAAAAATAAATTAAAAAAATTAAAAATCCGTGAGACTGCAAAATGTGAATCGCAATATATTGAGGGACGACTGTAGCTCACCTCCCACCCCCGGTAAGGTGTCCGCGTATTCACAAATGGAAATATGGTCACCCCAATAGGGATGGGCAGAATTTCATCCATTACGTTCATTTTAATCGAGAAACCGAACGCATGTTTGTGTGTATCGTGACCAAACAGGTGTGTACATGTGTCTCTGCATCAGAAGGAGCGAGACACAAACAGTGGGTCAGTCTGTAACGAACCGAAGCACAAATGCGGATTTAACGATGATTTGTACAAGAAATTCCACACTTTCCGTTGCGTTGGGACAAGTGTGAGTCCATGTGCACAGTGTATAAAGCAGCACATATGTTTCTGTGTCCAGTGGGAAAAAGTTTTTCCAGGTGAGAGTCGCTCAATGTGGATGACGAGGCCCCGCCCCCCTCCCCCCGTACGCTGTCCTGGTTTTGACAAAACACAAATCTGGTCACACTGACCTGTATTCACCTGAGTCATGTCTTTTAATCCGACAGAAACGTTGAACCAAATCAGCGACACAAGAGCTGGAGTTTTATTTTCGCTGAGTTTTATGCAAATTAGCGATGCGGTTTTAAGTTTTGTTTCTGTGAGATTTGAACAAAACTGAATTAAACACATTATAATGTCAAACAGCTGATGTGGATCTAGAGTCGTTATGTTTATATGTCGTAAAGTTGAATTTATTTATGCAGATTAGTGCAGATAGTAATAATAATGATGATCATTTTAATATAAAAACGTTAATGATTAATCGATAATCAATCGTTAATTCTTCCGACGATCGATTAAGAAAATTTCATCAAATGCCCGTCCCTACACCCTAATAGTATCAGATTTTCTATACTTTTGACACCCACACTGTAAACTTTATGTCAAGTTTAATCAAAAAAATCGAGCACCAGACGTCACGAAAAACACAATTTGTTCCAATCCAAAGTAACAGAATTTATTGGATCAGCGTAAATGGAAACACATAGTTCACATTCTGTTCCGAGTTCTGCAGAATCCAGTCGGAAAATTTCACATCTCATGTCATAACACTGCTCCCAAATACACAGCCTGGCGCGTCTTCACTACGTTTTTGGGCTTTCATAAAAATACATAGGCGATTTTTTTCTTCCCATATACAAATGTACACACGTCTCACATCATTCAAATCGAGCTAAAACTTCAAAATGACAAACAGAAAATTGATATATTTCCCCCCGTGTTTTTGTGGCACGAAGACACAACTGCTGCTTCCTCCTGTCTTGTTCGAATGCCAAATATAGTCATTGGTTCTCATGACAACAGGCAGCTGGTGGAGATGTCCTTTTTTTTCCTGCAAACACCACCGTTCTCAGTCCAAAATTTCCTCTTTTCAGACGCCGCGGTGCCGCTCCTCGGGTTTTCGACCGGGGTTAACTGCAAAAAAAAAAAGAAAAGCAAACAAAGGGAAATGAAAGTTATTAAAAACGTAAGTAAAAGTTTGTTGCTATGGACGAAGAGCTGCAACGCTCTTAAGCCACGCCCACACACGGTTAAATCAAGGAGGTATTGACGATGCAACAGGCAAAAGGCAAAAGGCAAAAGGCAACGCGTAGTGAGGGTGATGAACAAAAATAAGATCAAGGGCCTGTATCTGTTTTTAAACTTGGAACTAAACATTAAATCTGCTACGAAACTGTACATATGGTGTTTTTAGAGCCTAATCTGCGGTTTCTTTTGGGTAATTTTAGAGCGAAAAAGGTAAATATGCAGGTTTCTGGTCAAAAATCTATCAAAAACTGAGTTGCGTCAAGTGGCCACTGCAGTTTCAAGTGCTATGTGACATTACAAAGGACTGCCCTGAGTACATACAAGGTGTTTCTGATGCAAACATCTGTCTTGTCTGGTCCTTATGACTCCAGACCCCGCCCTTCCTCCAGACTCTCTCACTCTCCCCCTTTAGTCCTCCCGACCCTGCCCTGCTCTCCCCCTTTACTCCTCCAGATCCTTCCCCTAATACCTTTATTCTTCCAGACTCTCTCTCACTCTCCCCTTTAGACCTTCCGACCCCCTTCACTTTCCCCTTTAGTCCTCCAGAAATCACCTCTCCTCTAGACCCCCCTCATTCTCCCCTTTAGTCCTCCAGACCCCACCCTCACTTTCCCCTTTAGTCCTCCAGACCCCTCTCACTCTCCCCTTTAGTCCTCCATACCTCAGCCCTCCTCCAGACCCTTCCTAACTCTTCCCTTTAGTCCTCCAGACCCCCTCACTCTCCCCTTTAGTCCTCCCAGACCCCCTTCACTCTCCCTTTAGTTCTCCATACCTCAGCCCTCCTCCAGACCCTCCCCACTCTCCCCTTTAGTCCTCCAGACCCTGTCCCTCCTCCCCTTTAGTCCTCCAGACCCCCCTCACTCTCCCCTTTAGTCCTACAGACCCCGAGTCTGGCTCCAGACCCTCCCTCACTCTCCCCTTTAGTCCTCCAGACCCTCCCTAACTTTCCCCTTTAGTCCTCCAGACCCCGAGTCCTGCTCCAGACCCTCCCTCACTCTCCCCTTTAGTCCTCCAGACCCTGTCCCTCCTCCCCTTTAGTCCTCCAGACCCCCCTCACTCTCCCCTTTAGTCCTACAGACCCCGAGTCCGGCTCCAGACCCTCCCTCACTCTCCCCTTTAGTCCTCCAGACCCTCCCTAACTTTCCCCTTTAGTCCTCCATACCTCAGCCCTCCTCCAGACCCTTCCTAACTCTTCCCTTTAGTCCTCCAGACCCTGTCCCTCCTCCCCTTTAGTCCTCCAGACCCCCCTCACTCTCCCCTTTAGTCCTACAGACCCCGAGTCCGGCTCCAGACCCTCCCTCATTCTCCCCTTTAGTCCTCCAGACCCTCCCTAACTTTCCCCTTTAGTCCTCCAGACCCCAAGTCCTGCTCCAGACCCTCCCTAACTTTCCCCTTTAGTCCTCCAGACCCCAAGTCCTGCTCCAGACCCTTCCTCACTCTCCCCTTTAGTCCTCCAGACCCCCCTCACTCTCCCCTTTAGTCCTCCAGACCCTCCCTCACATTCAATTTCTGAACTCGACAAAAGTTTATTTGGTCGAAAACCTTTTGCTGCTCATCCAAACTTTCAAGCTGCGAAACATTTTCGACCAAATAAACGTTTGTCCAGTTGACAAATCGAATTTCTCCTTTTGTCCTGGATTCTACCTGAACGATAGAGATTTTACACAACACACTGGATAATATAAAGTCTATTTATCTCAACCTTAAGATATTTAAACAGATCCAGGCCCTTGAACGTCTCAAACGAGGTGAAATCACTTAAACCAACATCATATTATCGTGAAGTTCCAGTCGTTACATTCATTACTGTGTCCTGCACCAGCCGCTTCTCCGTTCTGTAGTTTCCTTTACAAACGTGTCAAACATTTGAGAATTCCCACACAGTGTCCATGCTTTGAACTGCACACAGACTCCATGCCCGTTACCAGGAAATCATTAGTTTTCCTTTAGAAGAAATCATCGTCATCATCGCTGTCGGCCTCCTCCAGAGCCCAGGTCCAGCCGGGCAGGCCGAACTCCAGCACTCTGAAAACACCAACGTAACAGGAGTCACCACGTTTAACCACGGGCAGGGTTCCCACGCTTTTCACTCGCAACAATTCAAAACTTTTCCATGAGCTAAAGTGAATTTCCCATGACTTTAAATCTGAAATGTTAACCCTTTTCCACTCACCTTATGGTTTGGGATTATAGTTTTTGAACATTCTAAATCCTGTCAGTGCATTTATTCTAGGGATGTAACGATATCCAAATCTCTCGGTACGATATTATCACGATATGCATCTCACGGCAAGATATTTATTGCGATATTTTGAAGAGGCTGATGTAATCGTAGATGGGAATTTTTTTTGCATTTAAAGGTTGTATGGAGGATTTTTTTTTTGTTTCAAATTGTCAGTGAAAGATTAAAATACCATTACAGAGACGCAGCAGCCTTGTAATTATGATGACCAAAAAAAAAAGAACGAAAATCTATCAACTGTGGACGTGTTGAGGCCAGATAAACATCAGCCAATAGAAAACGAGGCTCCCTCATTTTCTATTGGCTGTTAGGTTGTCAATCAAACTCCCTAGTATAACTGACTCGTCGGAGCGCGGGGATTACGTGGTTTACGCAGCGGTTCTTAGAGGCATTTTCGAACTGTCGCTTCCTCGCATTTCGCACAAAGTTTGTCGCGACGGCGGACGAGAATCCACGACCATTTCGCCGCAAAAGAAAGTCCGTTTTTGAGGTCGCTGAAAGAAGAAGAGAAGTGGAAAAGTAGCAAAGCCAAACTGAGGTGATTCTTGGAGATCTCGTCCAGCGATGGCGCGACCGAAGCAGACGAAGGGTCTAAAAACTGACGGTCGCTGAATTACTTCTAGACAGGAAACTTCAACAGTAATTCTGAACGCGCACAAGGACTGTCGCTGTATTTCTCTTCCCTTAAAAAAATCCTCTATACAACCTTTAAAATACCTTGACATGATTTTGGTGTGAAGTATTTCTGTCGTAATCCCAAGAATTCAAGTAAAAACATATTTCTTCATGTTGTTTGCGCTGAAATGAATCATGGGATACGTAGTTTCCGATGTTTATAAGCTGTTGCTCGATATATTGCGACAGCCCAAGAGACTTTCGACGATATCACGATTTACCACCTCTACAAAAACTACAAACATATGAAATATTTGATCTTTTTGAAGTGCTGATTGGTGCGATATTTTCACGATATACATCTCACGGTACGATATTTGTTGCGATATTTTGTGGAGAGTAACAAAACTGCGAATATTCTACTTTTCCCTCTTAAAATGCCTTGACAAGACTTAATCCAAAGACTTAAAAGTGTTAGAACTGTTATTTCTTCTTGTAGTTTGCACTGAAATGGAGCAAAGGATCATGGTCTATGTAGTTCTCTGTCTTTTTTTAGCTGTTGCTGCACCATAACTCTTCATTTAAGCAAAGACACTTGTATTTCGATATATTGTGATGGTCCACGATATTATTGTGAGAACTTTGATGATATCCTGATATTTCGGTTATTGTTACATTCGCAGTGTATAATGTAATATAGAAAATGTTATTATTCTATCTTGTAAATTACAATGTATTATTTGCGTTTTTATGATCGCTGTGGTTTCAAAATTTGTATTAAGTATTTGAATTTGAAATTTAAGTATCAAACTGCCAACTTCCACTACTTCTGACTGAAAATACTATAAAATATTAATAGTATTTGAATGTGAAAGCGCATTCTTAGTTTATACTATTGTTCTACTACTACTGTTTCAAATATAATTTCCATATCCTTTTTATTTCTTCAAGTAAAACCTCAAGATTTTGGTGTGAATTATTACCGTCAAAATCCCAAGAATTCAAGTCAAAAACATATTTCTTCATGTTGTTTGCGTTGAAATGAATCATGGGAATATTTCCCAAAGTTTATAAGCTGTTACTACAATAAAATCTGCATTTAAGCATAGAAACTTGTAATTTGATATCGATGTGATGGTCCACTATATTATTGTGCACTGTTGGGCAAGTTACTTTAAAAACGTAATGTGTTATTTATTACTTATTACTGTCATTTCAAAGTAATTCGTTACATTACAATATTACTGCATTTAAAATGTAAGGCATTACATTACTATTACATTACTTTAAGTTACTCTCACCAAAATAACTGCGAAGATGCTGAACTTTTGCGCCGTATATGGACTGAACCAGGACTAAACCAGAGCTGAACCAGGACTATAACAGGACTAACCTCGGACTGATTCCAGGACTGAAGAGGAGAACTAAACCAGGACTGAACTAGGACTAAAACAGGTCTAAACCAGAACTAAACCAGAACAAAATCAGGACTAAACCAGAACTGAACTAGGACTAAAACAGGACTCACTGTCAGGACGGGCTCGAAGGTGACGCAGGAGAAAGGAGCGGCTTTGCTCCGCACCTCACGGAGGTAAGAGCGACTGTCGCCCGATCGCGCTTTATGGACCCTGCTGCTCGGGCTCGCGGCCCTGATTTCAGCAACTATTTGCAGGTACAAGACCCGGAGTAAGACTCTGCTACAGCACGTAACTTCTACCTTCCTTCAGCGTGTCCAGAAGTCCAACTTTTTGTGCGATAGTGAGCATCTTCCTCTGCCTTTTGGGTGCGAGCGCAGGAGCCTTTGTCAGTGCAGAACGTTTCGTCGACGTTGTGGGTTTTGTCGAACAGAAAACTTGCAAACATACAGCACTTTGGACGACTGTAAACCAGGTCTAAACTAGAACTGACCCAGGTCTAAGCCAGGTCTAAACAGCGTAGAGTTCTGTGTCGGTCCTTTCCCCGCGGTTACCTGAAGGTCTACTCGGCCACGTCTCCGGTGTTTCCCCGCTGCTGATATCGCGGTGATTTTAGCAAATTTGTATGAAGAAAAACACACCACTTCGATCCAGGTTAAAAAAACATTGTAACGCGCGTTACTCACATTTGTACCGAGTAAAATATTACTATTTTTTCCCCTGTAATGCCAAACATTACTGCGTTACAGCAAAAAGCAATGCATTACTGTAATTCGTTACTTTTATAACGCGTTACTCCCAACACTGTTATTGTGAGACTTTTGACGATACGATATCACGATATTTTGGTTATTGTTACATCCCTAATTTATTGCCGTCTCTTTTAAAGAACAGGCGCATATGTTCTGAAATAATAACAGCCTAATGAGAGCTTAACAGAACGTTGGAGTTGTGTGAAAGAGATACCGAAATTCCATGATTTTTCCAAAACTTTCATTCAATTCTACATATTTCCATGAATTTTCCAGGATTTCCATGAGCGTGGGAACCCTGCAGGAGGCGTGTCAGGGCGTGGGACATGCTGCTGCTGCTGCCTGTGGGGGGCGCTGTGGGGGGCGTGAGTGCAGGATGCGGGAAGCCATGAAGGGTTAGCAAGCAGTGAAGAAGACACGTGAACGCAAGCAGAACGTCTGGTACTGCCCGACCCAAACCCGACCTCATCTGGTGTCTGCAGTTTCATTCATTTTATTTATTGACGTAAGTGATTTTGGGACTAAAGTAAAGTTATGTCGTCGTGCATAGAAACAGAACGGTAGGTCTCGTGTTCAGCCTCTGGAAAATTTTTCGCAGGATCAGCGAGCGAAGATGTCAGACTTTTGCGAACGAGCGAAATAAACCGACGAAAGAGCGAAGCCTAATATTTCACAGGTACAATTTTACTTTCTAGGCCGATAATTCTAAATGTTGTGTTTTAAACCCAGACTGACTTAACCCAGGACTGAGCCAGGACTAAACTACAGCTGAATCAAGACTGAACCAGGACTAAACCAGGACTAAACCAGGACTGAACTATAACTAAACCAGGACTAAACAAGGACTGAACTATAACTAAACCAGGACTAAGACCAGGTCTAAACCAGGTCTAAACCAGGACTGAACTATAACTAAACCAGGACTAGACCAGGTCTAAACCAGGACTAAACCAGGACTAAACCAGATCTGAACCAAGACTGAACTATAACTAAACCAGGACTAACCAGGTCTAAACCAGGTCTAAACCAGGACTAAACTACAAGCTGAAATCAAGGACTGAACCAGGACTAAACCAGGACTGAACTATAACTAAACCAGGACTAGACCAGGTCTAAACCAGACTGACTAAACCAGGACTAAACCAGGTCTAAACCAGGACTAAACCAGGAAACTAAACCAGGTCTAAACCAGGACTAAACCAGGTCTAAACCAGGACTAACCAGGACTAAACCAGACTACAAACCAAGGACTAAACCAGGTCTAAAACAGGACTAAAACCAGGACTGAACAACTAAACCAGACTAAACAAGTAAACTAAAAGGACTGCTAAACAGGTCTAAACCAGGACTAAACCAAAAACAGGAACCTAAACCAAACTAAACTAAACCAGAGCTAAACCAGGACTAAAAACAGGAAAACAGACTAAAACAGGACTAATCTAGGACTGAACCAGATCGAGCCACACAGTGCTACTTGGTCTGTGGGAAATGCTGTTATTTTAATTAATTTTATTGTAGCTTTCACACGTTATCTGTATATATGTAAATGTAACTGTTTCTTCTGTTTTGTTGACTTTTATGTGAAGCACTTTGGTCAGCTGAAGTTGTTTTAAATGTGCTATAGAAAATAAACTTGATTTAATTGAATACTGTCTTGTCCCCGAATGACGTTCATTCATTTAAAGCAGCGTAACCCAGTACCAAGATGGCGGCTTTGCTGACGCATTCGCTCCTATACACAGCGGTTGTCAATGCGAGATCTACAGTTCTATATCTACACCGCATGTGCAGAAATAATCATTCACAATCCGTGTATCATTCGTTCATTCGTTTTTCAATATAAAACCAAAATAAGAAAACGAAAAACAACAGTTTTCTTCGTTATTTGTCTCCAAAACCAAAATGAAAAAAAACAGCGATTTGTTTTTCTGGTGTTTAAATGAAGAATGGAAAAAACGGATAACGGTCCCGCTCCGGTCCCGGTCTCAGTCCCGCTCTGGTCTCGGACCTGGATCAGTCCTGATTCAGTCCGTATGCGGTGCAAAAGTCCGGCATCGCAGTCACGGAAGTCACGTAAACGGGAAACGGCCGTTATCCGTTTTTTCCATTCTTCATTTAAACACAAAATCGAAAACTGAAAAAACGAATCATTATCCGTTTTTTCATTTTGGTTTTGGAGACAAATAACGAAGAAAACTGTTGTTTTTTCGTTTTCTTATTTTTGGTTTTATATTGAAAAACGAATGAACGAATGATACACGGATTATTCACTGCGTCTCTGTTGGTCGTCCAGTTTCATAGAACCATAGTTATATTGGTAACTTTCAATGATCGTCGCCCAGAACCGAACCCACTGAACGCTCCCCGGTGTCGTTTTTGGATTTGTATGCAGGTGCAGGAGCAGAACCGGATGAAGTCGGGTTTGTCGGACGATGCGGGGACAGCTCTACTTACACAGAGAAAGACGTTAGAAAGTGGAGAGGTCAGAGAGGTCAGAGGTCAGTGCAGGATGATGCGCAGCATGGGCCCAGAGCTGCAGGAGTGAGAGCCAGGGGACAGGGTTACACAGGGGTCGAACAGGGGTCATACAGAGGTCAAACAGAGGTCATACAGGGGTCATGTGGCAGCAGAGAGCACCCGCCCACAGCATCATACGCTAGTGTAGAATAATACAGTTTAAATATAAAATCATATAGATTCTTGTACGGAATAAAGGATGATAAATGGATGGATGGATGAAGAAAAAAATAATAAAAATTGTACTTTCTCTTTCTACACAGCAAAAACTGGAGGGTTAAAATTTCAGGGTAAAATATTTCAGAGTTGATTTTAACACAAAAAGTGTTATTTTGACTCTTTGAAAGTTAAATGGGGGTTTGAGTTGAGGTTATTTGCTAGTTAATTCAACTTCCCCTAGTGTTAATTCAACTTTCCCTAGTGTTAATTCAACTTTCCCTAGTGTTAATTCAACTTCTTCTAGTGTGAATTCAACTTCTTCTAGTGTGAATTCAACTTCTTCCCTAGTGTGAATTCAACTTTCCCTAGTGTGAATTCAACTTCCCCTAGTGTGAATTCAACTTTCCCTAGTGTGAATTCAACTTTCTAGTGTGAATTCAACTTTCCCTAGTGTTAATTCAACTTCTTCTAGTGTTAATTCAACTTCTTCTAGTGTGAATTCAACTTTCCCTAGTGTGAATTCAACTTTCCCTAGTGTGAATTCAACTTTCCCTAGTGTGAATTCAACTTCCCCTAGTGTGAATTCAACTTCTTCTAGTGTGAATTCAACTTCTTCTAGTGTGAATTCAACTTTCCCTAGTGTGAATTCAACTTTCCCTAGTGTGAATTCAACTTTCCTAGTGTTAATTCAACTTCTTCTAGTGTGAATTCAACTTCTTCTAGTGTTAATTCAACTTCTTCTAGTGTGAATTCAACTTCTTCTAGTGTGAATTCAACTTTCCCTAGTGTGAATTCAACTTCTTCTAGTGTTAATTAAACTTTCCCTAGTGTGAATTCAACTTCCCCTAGTGTTAATTCAACTTTTTCTAGTGTTAATTCAACTTCTCTTAGTGTGAATTCAACTTCTCTTAGTGTTAATTTGGCTCCTCCCACCCACCACTTCAAACTCCCGCAAGAGTAGACCAGTTTGAACCAGTTTTGTTCATAATTTCATCTTAAATTAACTAAAATAAAGTGTAAAAATAAAACATCTCTGTGTGTTGTTTTGCCAAATCGGGATAACTCTACAAAGTGTTACCCGTTTACTCTCAAAACCTTAATATAACTCTTGATTTCAGAGTTAAACAGGAATTTTGGTCCAGTGTTACTTAGTGAACATTGGACATTGGACTCATATAAACTCGGCGTGTAACGACACAAAAATCACGGTTCGGTTCATTTTCAGTTCAGTTTGGGAACAAAATGCCAAATCATTTGCTTTGTATTTATTTCTGTTTTTATTAAATCAACAATTTGTTTTAACATTATACAATCGAGAAAATAAAATAAATGCAAAGTGCTGCTTGGTAAAACTAATAAGATAAATAAAGTATTCTCAAATAAGCAACAAATGTTTGAAATGTTATTACAAAATTAATTCCTTGAAAACAGTAAACAAAACTTTTCAAAAAATAAAGCTCAGCACTGACAGTTCCAGCATAAAGTTTTACTCAATTGGAGATTCAGTGCTGGCGAAAGGCGAAAGTGAAGACCAGGGAGCGACGATGTGGTCAAGGTGGGGGGCAACTGTTGTCAAGGTGGTCGCCCTAACTATAAAGCGCTGTGGGAAACACTGCCCCAATCACAGATGAGTTCCTTCGTGAATATTAAAGAGCCGAGTCTCCGTGTAGCTGCATGTGTGGTGGTGGAATATAAACACACACAAACTGTGCACATTCATGCACAGACCCACACCAAACCCAACGTCCCAAACTGAAAGGGTTTGGCATGAACACATGAACCGTTACACCCCTGATATAAACCCTGACAAAATGTTCAAACTGATTCTGTGAGAGTCAATTTTAACTCTCCAGTTGTTGCTGTGTCTGATAAAAGACTTAGAGTTGTCGTGTCTCGTGTGTTTTGTGTGTGTCTGTGTGTCGTGTGTGTGTTGTGTGTTGTGTGTTTGTGTGTCTGTGTGTTGTGTGTGTGTGTGTGTGTCGTGTTTGTGTGTTTGTCTCCTCACCTGGTTTTGCTCGAGCTTTGCTGCTGCTGCTGCTGCTGCAGGGTCCGGCTGCTGGCCTGGATCTTGATGGCTCCTCGGTGGGACATGCGGGGGGAGGCCCTGGGGGAGGCCCTGGGGGAGTCTCTTGGGGAGACTCTGGGACTGGGAGTGGGTCTGGGCTGGAGCTCCGGGGTGGGGGGCTGCGGCGCCGGGGGCAGGGCGGCCGAGAGGGGGCTCAGGGTGGGGTGTTTTCGGGGGATCCTCTTGAGCAGGTGACTGACCCAGCGCGTCTGCTCCTCCGCAGAGCTGGCCAGCAGGAGGAGCTCTTTGGCCGTGGACATGTCGTAGTTCACTGAGGTACACGAGGAAGTACACCTGTACGCAGGTACACAGTACAGCAGTACACATGTGCAGTACACCTGTACACGCAGTACACATGTACACGCAGTACACATGTACACACAACACACCTGTACACGCTGTCATTTTGTTCTACTGCATTCTCTCAAGTAAACATATTATATACTTCAAATCTATGAAAGTGCTCCTCAACCTTTTTAGCTCCACAGACCAGTTTTATGTCCGACAATATCTCAATATCTCAAGGACCAGGGGCTGCGGCGGCGCGGGATGGTTTAGTCCTGGTTTAGTTCTGGTTTTAGTTCTGGTTTAAGTCCTGGTTTAGACCTGTTTTAGTCCTGGTTTTAGTCCTGGTTTTAGTCCTGTTTTAGTTCTGATTTACTCCTGGTTTAGTCCTGGTTTAGTCCTGGTTTAAGTCCTGGTTTAGACCTGTTTTAGTCCTGGTTTTAGTCCTGTTTTAGTCCTGGTTTTAGTCCTGGTGTAGTCCTGGTTTTAGTCCTGGTTTAAATCCTGTTTTAGTCCCGGTTTTAGTCCTGTTTTAGTCCTGGTTTTAGTCCTGGTGTAGTCCTGGTTTAGTCCTGGTTTTAGTCCTGGTTTTAGTCCTGGTTTAGTCCTGGTCTAGTCCTGGTCTAGTCCTGGTTTTAGTCCTGGTTTAGTCCTGGTTTTAGACCTACGGCCCTGGCCTGGGGGTTTTGGGGACCCCTGATCTATGAAACCTGTGGATCTTTATGTGAGAATTTGGACATTTTTCCGAGTTTGAAAACTGCAGTCTCTGAGTCAACAGCAAAATATGACTCAGGTGACGAGGAGGAGTTAGTTTCAGTGTAGATAAACTCCACCCTTCAGTCAGATCTAGGGCAGAACTGAAGAAGCCTCTTGGAGCAGTGGCAAAACCAGAGGCGGCGCTACCATTAGGCAAAAGTAGGTAACTGCCGAGGGCCCCTAAACCTGGAGGGGCCCCCAACCAACTGCCAAGGCGTCAGAGCAATTTGATTTTCTCTAAATATGACATTAAATGAGAGGAGTTTACTTTTAAACAATAATCATAAAAGAAAAAAATAATCATCATATGTAGTGGATGTAAACAAAATGTAATTATACTAGCAGAAAAATAAAACTACTTTCAGGTCTGGTTTTCTAGCAGGCGACTGAACGAATAAGACAAATTTTCAATCCACCATAATTCAAATAAATAGAGACGTGCATGTCTCAAAAACAATGAGGAAAAACAGTCAATAAATATATATATATATATTAAAATTATAATCAGGGTCCCAAATTTAAGTTTGCCTAGAGGCTCCAAATCGCATACTCACTATATTCTCTAAAAAAAAAAAATGTGCCCAGTTGACAGAATCCATTTTCTTTTGCGATGGAACCAACGTGGACGAGTGAGGGATTACACAGAAAACTTCATTTGTTTGTTTGTTGTTTCCGTTGGGCAAACCAACTCCATAAACAGATTGATTCTCCTCTGTCACAAAGTGGTACTGTTACACAATACAAACATGTCACACTTGATACTGAGGAAGAGACTTGATACAACAATGATCATAAAAAACACTCTTCCTCAAGCCAAGAGAAAGTGATTTTTCAGGATTAAATGGATGAACTTTCTTTTCTGTTCCCAAGCGCTTTGTGTTGCATTTTTTTTGTATGGAAAGTGCTCTGTAAATAAAGTTTGATTGATTGTGTCCTGATATTTGTGTGTAATCCCTCAGTGCTCCATGTGCTGTTATACTTGTTCTGATACAACTCAAAATTATTCTAAAGCTGGATCTGGTCAAGTGGTAACGGAGGGAAACAGGGGCAGATTTTTGACATTCAAATGTCTCTTATTCAGAAACTAGAGGAACTATTGAAATAAGTAAAGTATCAGAATGTAGGAAAGAGTTACACTCCAACAGGGTCAAGTTAAACCTGTGATATTCTTTCAAGTTGTTGACAAAAAATTTTAAAAACTCATGTCGGTAACAGAGGGAATGAAATATGCAGCACTTTTTGGGCAATAAATCCAAACAGTGAAAACTCTTGGTTCTCACTTACATATCCTTAACAAACTGGTTTGAATATTTGCTTCATATAGTTTTCTACCATATGGTACAAGATTAGGTTGAAAAACCTCTTACTTTTTGACTCATGAGATTTTTTATTAAGAAAGGTCATGGTAACGGAGGGAAAAGTAACGGAGGGAAAATTGTGTAAACAAGTAGAAGGTGCAGGATTTTACATCATTTGTCACTTTATTCTTCCGAATACTTTAATATTACTTCAAAATGAAAGAAACTATTTCCATAAAATATGTCAGTCCTTCCAAGCAAATTTTTATCATTTTAATTTTTTGTTCATGTACCTTCATCAACAGTTCAAAGATGGAATAACACAAGATATGATGAAATACATCCATTTATTTACATGATTTTTGAGTCTTTGAAATTTGGGAAATAATTTTTGTTCCATGTTTCATACATGGTCTGTTTAAAACGTATGGAACTTTAGAACCAAAAATGGTACAGAAAAAAGGTCAACAGTTTCATAAACTAGAGTACATATGTATCTGTTCAATACATTTTTATATCAGATGAATTAACGTGAATTTTTGGCCTTGATGTTTACTTCTGCTTGACTGAGACCAGCTACTAAAACCTTAATTTCTGTCCTGTGAATGTAACATTTTAAATATCGATACCTGCTCAACTGAGGATCTACTTTTAATACTAGAATCTGATTTAGATACTTTTGACAACCCTACAAAGCGTCCGTGCTGTAAACTCCGCCCAGACGGTGGTAAACCTCTGCCCGTGACTCACCTTTGCAGGGGGGGATGCCCTCCTCCTTGCTGCCCATATGGTCCTTGTGGCACTTGAAGTGGCAGCGGCGGCACTCGAGGGCGGCCGGGGGCTTGAACATGTGCCAGAGCGGGCGGGCGCACACCTCGCAGCCCGAGGGGAAGTGGTACAGCGTGGGGATCAGCTCGTGCCCTTTGTGGCTGATGTAGGACGGGCGCTCGCTGAAGCTGACCGTCTCCACCGAGGCGTCCGGGTCGCGCTTGATCTCGCCTTCGTTGGCGTACAGGATCTGACAAGAACAAGATTTTATAAACGCACTTACTTTTAAAACTATTTTAAGAAACCTTTGTAAAATGCCGTCACTTTTTGGACAATTTTAAGAAGGATCTGTAAAATGCTGTCAATTTTTGGACAATTTTAAGAAACCTTTGTAAAATGCCGTCACTTTTCGAACAATTTTAAGAAGTTTTTGTAAATGTGTCACTTTTTGGACATTTTTAAGAAGCCAACATTTCTACAGAGACAGGTGGACCTGTCTGTGTTTTTGCAGCGTGTTCCAGTCCGAGAGCGCAGCAGCAGCAGCAGCAGCAGCAGCAGCAGCAGCAGCAGCAGAATCTGTGTGTTGTTCGTTCATTAGTTTTTCAAAATAAAACCAAAAATAAGAAAATGAAAAATCAACAGTTTTCTTCATTATTTGTCAACAAAACCAAAATGAAAAAACAGATAACAGCCGTCTCCCGTTTCTGAAACTTAAACTGCGATCCTGGACTTTTGCGCTGCATACGGCCTGAACCAGGACTGAACCAGGTCCGGGACCAGATCGGAACCAGCCCGGAATTGAGACCAGGACTTAGACTGGGACCAAACCAGGACTGAGTCTGGGACCAAACCAGGACTGAGTCTGGGACCAGACCGGGAGCAGGAACAGGACCAAGACTGAGACTGGGACTGAGGCCGGGACTGAGACCAGGACTTAGGCCGGGACAAGAATGGGACTGAGACCAGGACTGAAAAAGGAACTTAGACCGGGACCAGACCAGAACTGAAAAGGGTTTAGTCCTGGTTTAGTCCTGGTTCAGTCCTGGTTTAGTCCGTTATCCGTTTTTTTCCATAATTCATTTAAACACAAAATCGAAAACTGGAGAAAATGAACCATTATCTGTTTTTTTCAGACAAATAATGAAGAAAATTTTAGTTTCTTTCATTTTCTTATTTTTGGTTTTATTTTGAAAAACGAATGAACGACTGACACACAGATTCAGCAGATCAGGAGCAGCGTTCAGTCTGTTTCTGTGCTTTGTTTTCATTTTTGTGAGCACAGAAAATCCCAATTCACACATTACTGGGAATATAAGTACCACCACTAACAGTACTTCAATTACTACTACAATATTCAGATGAGGTTTGCAGATTTTATACTCCAGTTGGCTCTTATTTAGTTTTGACAAATCCAAATATTGTACTTCGTGTGAGAAAATCCCTCTTCTCGTTCTTCTACTCTAGCCTCCGCAGACTTTTCTGTACTCCGCTCACACTCCGGAGCGCTGGGAGTACAGATGTGAGGAGAATAAAAAGAATGTAATGACTCCGCTCTCTTTTGCACTCAGACGTTGACGGATGTTTTATGCACAGGGCCCTGCGGGGGGGGGGGCGGTACCTGGAATATTCGGGGTATTTCCCTGGCGTCGGCGCGGTACACGTCGGTCTGGGTGACGGGACGCACGTGGAACAGTTTACTGCAAGAGAGAAGAAGAAGAAGAGAAGAAGAGTCAGGTGCATTTTCTTTTCTCACAATTCTGGTAAAAGCTTTGGCTGTAAAACATTTCTTGATTGCAGTTTTCTTTTTTCTATTTCTTTAAAACACAATAAATAAACCAACAAACAAGCAAACACTATTCATTATATATAAAAACATAAATCTGTTGTGTGTCTTTTCAATTTGTTGATAATGTAAATACTATTTTTGTACCACTAAAACAAAAGAGTGTATTTTTATGGAAGGGCTGTACCATCATAATATCGTCAATTTTGTTTAGAAGATTTGAAATTCAACTATCTTGTTAAATATTTGGTAACACTTTATAATAACTACACTTTATTTAGCCTTAATAAAGCATGAACGAAGGCTTAATTAATAATAAACAAAGACTTAATTAATAATGATTCACGCTTAGTAACTACTTAAAGGTTGTATGGAGGATTTTTTTTTGTTTCAAAGTTGTCAGTGATAGATTATAGATGCAGTCGCCTTGTAATTATGATGACCAAAAAAAAGAGAATAAAAATTCATCAACTCTGGACGTGGTGGGGCTAAACATTTGCCAATAGATAACGACACTGCCTCGTTATCTGTGAGCTGACAGGCTGTCAATCAAACTCCCTACGTTTCTAGTGTAACTGACTTGCCTGCGCCGCCGGTACGTGGTTTACGTACGACTGTCACGCAGTCCACAGACGCAAGACGCACAGACGCTGTTTACTCCACCAACGCAACAGTTCTTAGCGGCTTTTTTGACCTATATCTTCCTCGCAGTTTCGCACAAAGTTTGTTGCAATGGCGACAAGAATCCAGGAGCAGTTCGCCGCAAAAGAAAGTCCGTTTTTGAGGTCGCTGAAAGAAGAAGACAAGGGAGAAAAGCAGCGAAGCCAAACTAAGGTGATTCTTGTAGATTCATTCCAGCGATGGCGCGACTGAAGCAGACGAAGGGTCTAAAGACTGAAGCACTGGTCCACAAATTACTCCTGGACAGGAAACTTCTGCTTATTATGAAAACGTCCTTTATTTCCAAGAGCGAGACAAACGTTTTTCAGGACACAAAAGTGATATCCTATGTCTAAAAACGTAATTTTCAAGGCAAAGAAAGAGTCCGCTTGCTGCTGCGTGTTGTAGCTAGTTCATTCGCACGGAATCTCCGCGCAACCTTCTCTGCACCCCTTTCCTGCTCCTCTCCCCGCTGCCCGTTCCGCTCTTCCCCCTGCTCCTCACTTCTCCGGGCACGGAATCTCCGCGCACCACTCCCCTCTCCCCTCTCCTCTCCCCTCTCCCTGCTCCCTGCTCCTCACTTCTTGTCTGCGCAAGAAATGTCCGCGCCCCCCCTCCCCCTGCTCCTCACTTCTCCATCTTGTCTAACCAACACTGTAGTTAGTTGTTTACAAGTCATGTGCAGCACCGGCTGTAAACAAACCTGTTTCTGGCGTAAGGAGGAGGAGGGAGGAGGTGTTTCTACGTAGGAGCTGTAGGGGAGGGGAGGTGGTTTCACGCATGCGCAACATTTGAAAAAGGACAAACAGTCGCTGGATTTCTCGTTCCTTGGAAAATCCTCTATACAACCTTTAATTACTACCTTAATTCGCACTTGCACTGAATTTGCCTGTGCTGTAAATAGTTACTCATAATTATTTCATACATAATTACTCATGAACTAACCATTTGAGCATTTATTAATGATTAATAAGCTATAAGAGAATGATTTACTAATAATACAGTGCAATGATAATTCAGGCAGCTGTTATCTGTTAGTTAAGTCTTTATGAGAGCTTTTCTAAAGTGAAGACGAATTATGCTTTATTAAACATTTACTAAGCGTGAATCATTGTTAATTAAGTCTTTGTTCATTATTAATTAAGTCTCTATTCATGCTTTATTAAGGCTAAATAAGGTGTAGTTATTATAAAGTGTTACCAAATATTTATTACTGTCAAATAAGAGCTGATTAAAAATAAACCTCAACTAAAACATTAATACCATATTTATCGGATGATAAGGTTTTGCGTCTTGGGCAGTGTAGACGGAAACACTACGGTGGAGAGGATTCAGCTTTTCCACTCGGTCGGACGTCGGTTTCAGATTTTTGCATTTTTAAGCCCCCAAAACGCCGTCACCGTCTAAACCAGACATGTCAAATTCAGGCCCGGGGACTAAATTTGGCCCACGATATAATTATATTTGGCCGGCGAGATCATTTCAAATCTGTACGAGAGCCGCCCGTGGTTACAGACAGAATACAGAGACATTATTTATTTAAAATGTTGTTATTATTAGTGCTGTCAAGCGATGAAAAAAATTGAGAGATTAATTCATGGTCTGTAATTAATTAATCTCTTTTTTAATCTCACCTAAAATTAGCTGAGAAAAGCCTTCAATTTGAGGTATTTTCATTTAAATTCATTATTAAACACATTATTTTCATACTGTCATCAAAGTTTTTATATAAGTATCATCATTATTATTACTATTAATAATCCGCATAAATAAACTCAACTTTACAACATATAAACATAAAGACTCTAGATCCACATCAGCTGTTTGACATTATAATGTGTTTAATTTTTAATTTTTGCGCAAGTCTCACAGAAACAAAACTTAAAACTGCATGACTAATTTGCATAAACTAAGCGAAGAAAAGAAAAAAAACGCTCTTGTGCTGCTGCTGCGGTTCAGGTTCTGTCAGACTGAAGGACAGGACTCAGTGGTATGTGAGTTTTCTCTCTGTGACAGAGGATGTGTGTCTGTTCTGTGTCTGTGTCATGATGTTTTCAGAGATCAGACGTGTGCAGGTTTATCACAAATGCGGGCGAGAACGGGAATGAAAATTACAGCTCTTTGCGAACAAAACACTACTGTGGTGATGTTTTTGATGAAGGGGGTGTTTATTTGTTTGCACATAATATTCAAATCAGACTTTTTTTTTTCTTTTTTTTTTTAAGGAGAAGAGGAAAGTGCCTCATTTTTTTTTTTCTTTTGCTGCTGCTCATCGTGAAAATTACAATTCTTTGCGGAAGCGACAAACAGATTTTATAATAAGGCAACCCGCGTACAGAAACAGTAAAGTTAGAGATTAAAAATAAGATTAACGCGATTAAAAAACATAACGCGCTAAATATAATAGTAATTAATTAATCGCAATTAACGCGATAATTTGACACCCCTAGTTTTTTTTATATTTTGCTTGTTCTGGATTCAATGTTTAAGCAAAACTATTATTAAACATTTATTTTAATAAAAAAAAAGGTTTAACATTACATATCTCGAAAGAAGAAAAAACATGCAGATGTTGTTGAAATTTTTCAATAAATATTTAGTTTGGCCCACGACTTAGTCCCAGTTTTTAATTTTGGCCTCTGTGAATTTGAGTTTGACATTCCTGGTCTAAACGAAAGGTGCTTCCATTAAAATATGTTGTAGTTTTTACCCGTTTTTTTGTGTTTTCATGTAAACAGACCCTAAGACATGAAGAATAATATCAGCAATAATGTGGTTTTATTATCGTTATCGCAATACTACGTGATGGAAGCATTTTGTTTTTGTTTTTATGCTACGTTTAAGAGTGACAGTACATGAATCTGAGTTTGTCCTGTTCACACTGTGTGCGTCTGCGTTTGTGTGACTGTGACTGTGTGTGTATTTGCTGCTGAACACTCACTCGATGTCCAGGGTCATGAAGGGGTTGGCCTGCTCTCGGTCCTCCACGCTGTGATAGAACAGGATCTTCTTACTGCTCACCACCACATACTGCGAAAAAAAACACACACGCAAATACACGGATAAATACACAAATACTACTCCCGAGTACACACGAGAGTACTGCAGTTTACCTTCCTGTCCCAGCCGAAGCGTTTGGAGTTTTTAGAGGGCAGAGACATCCAGCCCTTCAGTCCGGAATCTGCACACACACACAGGGACAAAGAATTAATATAAAAAAATTAAATAAAAATAAAACAAAAAAAGCGTCAAAGTAAAACAAACAAAAGTAAAAAATTATACATGTACAACAAAAAGTAAAAGTGCACAGGGCAAAATAAAAAGCACACACTGGTTACATGCTGATGTTCCGACAGTGACGTCTAATTGTCGGAGAGGTGGCATTTCCATTTTTTATCAAACCATTTAATTTTTTTTTTATTTTTTTTTTTTTTTACTTTTTTGGAGTGGCGGCACTTTAGTTTTTTTCCCAACATGCCGCCATTCCAACACACAAGGGAATTGTTAAGTTGCAGCAGCGTGGTTTTCGGGACAATATTTTCACGGACTGGCGGCGTAGCAGGTGTGGTTAAATCCTGGTTTAAGTTCTGGTTTAGGCCTGGTTTTAGTCCTGATGTTTAGTCCTGGTTTTAGTCTGGTTTTCGGCCTGGTTTAGACCTGGTTTTAGTCCTGGTTTAGACCTGGTTTTACTCCTGCTTTTAGTCCTGGTTTAGACCTGGTTTAGTCCTCATTTACTCCTGGTTTAGTGCTGGTTTGGACCTGGTTTAGTCCTGGTTTTAGTCCTGATTTTGACCTGGTTTAGTCCTCATTTACTCCTGGTTTAGACCTGGTTTAGTCCTGGTTTAGTCCTGGTTTAGTCCTGGTTTTATTCCTGGTTTTAGACCTGGTTTAGACCTGGTTTAGAGACCTGGTTTAGTCCTCATTTACTCCTGGTTTAGTTTAGTCCTGGTTTAGACCTGGTTTAGTCCTTTTTACCTGGTTTAAAGTTTTAGACCTGGTTTTAGTCCTGATTTTATTCCTGGTTTTGACCTGGTTTAGTCCCTCATTTACTCCTGGTTTAGTCCTGGTTTAGTCCTGGTTTTACTCCTGCTTTTAGTCCTTGTTTAGTCCTAATTTACTCCTGGTTTAGACCTGGTTTAGTCCTGGTTTAGTCCTGGTTTAGACCTGGTTTTAGTCCTGGTTTTAGTCCTGGTTTAGACCTGGTTTAGTCCTGGTTTAGACCTGGTTTTAGTTGTGTATACGAGGCAAAAAATGTGACGTTCCAAACTACAGAAGCTGTAGTTGAGTAGTTGAATGTCGGGGTGGGGGTCTGTCGCCGTAGCAACATGTCAGAATAAGGGTTGAACACACAAACAAAACAGAACTGCGGCCATGTTTTTGATGAGGGGGAGTTTATTTGTTTGCACATAATATTCAAATCTGAAAGCGCCACATTTTTCTT